ATAATCAGAAAAGCTGGATTTCATGAAGAAGAATGGCATCCAGATTAGAAAAACTTAATAACAATTTGTGATATGCAGATGGCATGATCTTGCTTTCTGAAAATGAGGACTGGAAGTAATTTCTGATAAAATCAAGGATTCAAGCCTTCAGTGTAGATTACATCTCAGTACAAAAAAGACCAAAATCCCCACAACTGAACCAATAGGTAACTTGATAAATCGAGTAAAGATTGAAGTTATCAAGGATTTCGCCTTGCTTAAATCTGCTGTCAATGCTCATGAAAGCAGCAGTCAGGAGATTAAAAGATGCAATGCATTAGATAAATATGCACAAGATCTCTTTAAACTGTTAAAAATCAAGGATGTTACTTTGAGGACTAACGTGTGCCTGACCCAAGCCATGATACCATTTTGACGATATCATATCAGTTGCCTCATAAACTTTTTCACTGCCCTTGTGTACACATGAAAATTGGATATTAAATAAGGAAGACTGAAGAATAATTGATGCATTTGAGCTTTGGTGCTAGCAAAGAATATTGAAAGTACCATGGACTACAATAAACAAACAAATCTGTCTTGGAAGAAGTACAGCAGGAAAGCTCATTAGAGGCAAGGATGCCAAGGCTTTGTCTTCTTGCCCTATACATGTTATCAAGAGAGACCAGTAACTGAAGAAGGACTTCATGCTTAGTAAAATAGAGCAGCGATGAAAAGAGGAAGCCCTGGAAAAGGTGGAATGACACAGTGGCTGCAACAAGGGGCTTGAACATAAGAACAACTGTGAGCATGGCACAGGGCCAGGCAGTGTTTCATTGTGTTGTACTTAGGGTCACTATGAGTTGGAAATGACTCGGTAGCACTGAACAACAACTAAAATAAGTTTAGAGTCTTTCTACCTAATATATATATATATATATATATATCCATCATGTCCTGTCATGTATCTATCCATCCCTCTATCCAGTTGTTCCTCCTTAATTTAGAAAACCTTACTGGTATTGGTACACTTCCCCTAAATTCTTCAACTGGTGCTGTGTTTAACTCTCTTCCCTTTGTTTCAGGTCAACTTCAAGTCTGGAGCCCTCTGGAGCTCAGCAGCCCCTCCTTTCGTACCCCTGAGATCCAAGCCCAGATAATCTGGGAAGAGCTTGGCGTTGGCAGCAGTGGTTTCCTCAGTATGCAAGAGCTGACTCTGGTCTGTCAAACCATTGGGCTACAAGACCTTGAGAAAGAGGTGAGAGAAAGCCCGAGACTGACCTGTCTCAACCACTTTTCTTTGAAATGTTTGGTCTGAAAACTCTCATGCTCTTTTAGACAATGATTCAGACATACAA